GGCACCGCGCTCCCCGCCCCGGCAGCCGGCGGCGAAGCAACGCCCCTACGGCTGAGGGCCAGGGAGGGGTCTGGGGGGGACGGGTGGCAGGTGTATGGCGGCGCCGGATTCCCAGCGGGATTAATTAACCACAAACAGCGCTTTTAAGAATAACGACTCAGGACTGCGATCGAAACGAGGAAAGCAGCAAGAGAGGCCAGGCTGCTCACGGCCTGCGGTGTGGGGAGGGGGAAGGTGGGGGGGTGAGGCCTCTCCCGAGGTGCAGAGGGCGGAGAAGTTCGTGGTGTGAAGGAGGCAGGAATAGCTCCTACTTCAGTCAAAACTGAGTCAAAACAGTGATCTTTAGCATACTTTTTTAGAACAAAAAAACCCAACAACGGTAAATAGTTCAGAATTTAATTATTCAGAGAGGAGAGGGTAGGTATCGGAGTTGCTGCACTCAGTTTTATTTTGGGGACTCCCGGGGCTGGTTATGGGCACTTGCATCAGTTGTACAAGTTGAATAATTAACACACTGCATTACTTTACAATCAGTGGATTCTCAAAATACACTGCATTTCTTTGTTATTTTTATAGTGCCAACTGTTTACGGTTTAAATCTGTCAATGAAATACTCTGTTTCCAGAAAAGAACATCTGCAGTTTGCCAGATATCAACAGATGGGCATTTTTATGTTTGCTCATGGGTATACTTAAACACACTCACAAGTGAATAAAGCCCAGACAGCATTTTGGTGACCATTTTAAGGCTACCTTCCAACAACAAACAAGAATCACAGACCAGGAAAGTCATCAGCTTTACAATTGTGCACAATCATAAACGGGTTGGTTGGAAGGGACCTCTCTAGGTTACACAGTTCAGCCACCCTGTTGAAAGTAAATCACAGCTCTCAAAACCATCCAAATTCAAAATTTCATAGTTTTTTCAGGTTGACTACCTTCCAAATAAATAATGTTTCATAATGTTCCTCTTTGGACCTCCTAAGCCACTTCTGCCCATGGTTTCCTGTTGTATTGCCTACCACTACCAAGGAGAGTCTAGCTCTGTCATATTCGTAACCCCCCTTCAAATAGTTGTAGGCTGCTGATACATGACTCCTTATGCAGGCCCAGGATCCCTCAACCTCTCCTTCAAGGTGATATGATTTAGATCCTGATCATCTTGGTAGCCTTCACTGGAGATGCACCATCTTGATCTGAGGAAGCACCAAACTGGGCCCTTTGTCCAGCCAGGGCCTCACCAACACTCAGAGGGGGATAATAACCTTCCTCAGTCTACTGGCCATACTCTTTCCAGTGTAGGCTGCTGTGTGATTTGCCCTCTTTGGGATGAGAGCGCACTGTTTGCTCATATTGGACTTGGCTTTCACATAACCTCAGGTCCTTTTTGGCAAAGCTGATAGCCAGCCTATTTCTTCCCAGCCAGTACCAATGGACCGGCTTATTCTGCCTTAGCTGCAGGGCTGAGTGTTTCTCCTTTATTGTGTTTCTCCTTGTTGAATGTGTTAAGGCTTCTGTCAGCCCAGTCCTTGAGCTTTTCAAAATTCCTTAGAACTGAAAGCTCTATAGTTTAGTGTGTCAACCACACCCCTAACTTAGCATTGTCTTAAAATATGGTGAGGGTGCATCCTGTGCGTTGGTCCAGGTTTTTGATGGAGACAATGAACAATATGGGCCCTAGTATCAACCCCTAGAGCATTCAACTTGTTATGGGCTTTCGGGCAGGTTGCCAAGCCACCAGCTGCCACCCACTGAGCCTGTCAACCTAGAGAGTTTTCAATGCATCTAACAGCTTGTTCAAGCCATATTTCCTCAGTTTGTGAGTGAAAGTGCTGTGGGAAATTATTTCAAAAGCTTTTCTGAAGTCAAGATCTGTTGTGTCCACTGCTCCCTCCTTGTCCATGTAGCCAGCCATTTCATTACAGGATGCAATCAGGTTGGCCAAGTGTGATTTGTCCTTCATAGATCCATGCCAGCTGTTCTTGATTGCCTTCTTGTCCTTTACAGGTCTCTTTCTAGGAGAGCTTCATCAGCTTTCTTTCTGTATCTTCCAGTCTCTGTGGCTGCAAACTGAATCTTTCTGTTTTTCTGAACAGTTGTCAAATACCTTCTGAACTCAATCATAAAAATAACATGGAGTAATTTAATAATTTGCATTTTAAATAAGATGCTGTATGTAATTCAGGAATGCTATTTTTAAGGCTAGCTGATAACAGATGCTTTGTCTTTTAACCCTCTGAATCTTTCTGTTCAGTGTACATATTTAGTATTCATAGTCCTTTAAATCCAGTAATACATTTGCCTTCTCAAAACCTTTAATAATTCTTTAACATGGATAAGTCTTGCACAGGACATATGAGGAGGCATGATTTTCAACTTTATTGTGTGGGACCTTCTTTGCCACTAGTATCCTTTAGATATGTTTCTAGAACAAACTCTTCTATGGCATTAATGAGGCTGGGCTCCCAGGCCCTGACCTTGGCTGTCCATTTAGTTTAGAGAATACTATCAAAAGGAGCATACTCGCATTCACAGATTGATTTTTCTACTGCACTTAATATCTCTGCTCCATGTGAACCCTTTGAAGCTGTGAATGTTCCAGAGATTGTAAGGTTTCCAATGGTGTTAGGAAGAACAGAAAACTGCTGTGTAACAGGATGGCAATGATGTAATTTAACATTGTGGTGGACAACAGTTTCTGAGGCATCAGCTATAAATAATGTCTTAGTTAATTTTTTTCAGCACAGATTTCTTTAAAAGTGTACACTAACATAGGTACCTGTATGAGACAACACAGGAATGATTCAGGAACAACCATAAAATCACAGATGAAATGCAAAGAGTAAATTTATTCTCATTACCTCACAACCTGGGAGGTCTCCACAGCAACACCCAGGCAGAGGCACGCAAGTGGAGATGCAAGCACTGTGGAGCTCGGTCCTTGCTAGCCAGAAAGACGAGAGGAAATAAAAGATCTCAGACCTGCTGCTTTCACCTGTATATATTAGGGATTTTTGCAGGTGTAGTTTTCTACTGAGCTTTGATCTTTCCCACACCTAGACAAGAATCTAAAGGATGTTCAATAAGGTGCCTCTGAGTCTATCACAGGCCTATGTTATCTAAACACAGATGTTCTACCCATCAAGCACACAAAGCTAAACAACAACTAGTATGATATATGTGTTTTTCAACACCCCAGCTGCAAGTCACTTGAGCATGTTTTCAATCCTCACCAATCTTCTGTTGTATTCCCACAGCACCATTTATGTGGGATAAATTGTACACAAAATACACTTGTACTTAATACAGCTGTTGGAATTCTTTTGTATTTGTATTTATGTGATTTTGGTATTTATCTCATTTTTGTCATATTTGTAATATTTGTATTTGTGTAATCAAATGTATTTATGTAATATTTACATAGTGTAATTTTTGTAATATTTTTTATGTATATAATTCTTCTGTATGCACTTTGTATGCTATTTTTGCATATTGCTTATTTACACTAGTTTTCTACACAGTCATTCTGGCACAGTACTAGAGGCATAATTTATGAGCTTTCCCAATTGTTTATAGATAAAATGCATCATATGTAGTATTAGATGTGTAGACTGTCTGTAGGCTGGAGGACCATAATATAGTACACATTTCAGCTCTGTTAGAATCTGATATGATTTTATTCTTGACTAAGTAGCCTGAAAACAGAAACAAATTTGGGATGCTCATCTCCTTGTGATTTTAAGCAGCTTTTTTATATAAATCAAAAACTTGAGCAAGGATTTGCATCGCCTCCCTGCAGGATATTAAGATAGCGTTAAGGCTTAAATCTCAATCTTTCATTAGTCTCAGATTGGCTTTTTTTTCTCCATCTTTTGCTGGAACAGATGGCAGTTCCAAAGGAGCAATACCGAATTGGTTGTTACTGCAGAGTAATTATTATTTGGTAGCTGGAGATGGCGCTCTCTGCCTACACATTTCTGCTTTGACCCCATTTGCAGCTGCCCAGTGCAAGGCTGAAATTTTGCTTCAATTTCTTTAAGGAATAACGCTGGGGAAAAGGGGATGCTTTACGCACTTGGCGCAGTAATATGAAAATCATCTTCACAGATGCCAGATGACTGGAGACAGACCCATGAACCATAAGGTGGATCTTAATCAGCTTGTGGTTTACGTAACGTAATGCAATGCCAACAATAACATGTGGAATTTTGAAAACTTACATGTTCTGCCAACATGGACACTGCAAACCTTGTGTGTTGGCAAAATATCTTCAGGAAAAGTAATTAATTGATTAAATTCATTTGTTACCATCTGGCAGGGAAAAGGAAGTTAAACAAAGTTATGTAGTTCATTGGATATAGCAAAATGATTGCGTTATCACCGACCCAACAGGCAGGAGCAACAGCCCCAATGTCCTCCTTAAGAGGAAAAAAATTGAAGAGCACCTGCCAAACACTGTAAATTGTCATTTTAGTTCTCCAGACTCTATTATATCTTTCTTTACCTGGAACAATCTTAGCAATGATGTAGAAGTAGCTAGTGAAAAATCTGTTTTAAGAATGATAAGTAATGGTACAGAAAAGAGCAAACCACTGGAGTGGCAGGTATGTGTGCGCCCTGAGGCTTTCTCCCCTCTGCCACACGCCTCAGAGGTGCTGGGCTGTGTGTCCTTGTGCCCAGGGAGTCCCGTGCTGTCCTTCTCAGGCCGTCAAAGCAGGTCAGAGAGGCACCACATACTGACATCTGTGCCGAGGGTTGGACATCTGCTGAGACCTCCTCTACAGCTCAGTCAGGAAAGGTCATAGGAAGTAGATTAACATTGATAGTGTTCACTATGGGCTGGTTATTATCTTAAATATTGGTCAAATCCAGCCTAGGGTTAAGTGAACAACACTTAATTTCTGCTGGCCATTTGACCATAGAGCAT